CTTTCTTTCTTTCTTTCTTTCTTTCTTTCTTTCTTTCTTTCTTTCTTTCTTTCTTTCTTTCTTTCTTTCTTTTTTACCACATTTGTGTCGGTCTCAACGGCCTCTTCAGTGTCGTCTGTCTTCTGTGTCAACACACCGCCATGTGTGCTGCAGTCCAGCTGGATGAGCGGTCGGCAGCGGTAGTGACATGTGTAACTGCAGTCTGTAGGGAAGTAAACTGTGAGTAAACACTAGTACTTCACCTTGACTTGAGGTTTGATTTCTGCACTGTGAAGAATAAATGCAAATTTTAATATAATTGTAAAGGATATAAAAACACAGACTTTATATTTTTTTTAAATTAGAGCCATAACATGGTGTTTGCCAGAGTTTTTGACTAACAGTTTGATAAAGTTTTAGATTAAAAAAAAACTACCAGGAGAAATCTTAATGCTTAAATTTTTCTCAAAACTTATACTGAACAACTTTGAATGCAAACAAATGCGATGTTTTCACAGATTTACTTCATTACAGTAATAATCTTTTTGAGGATTTGTAATTTTATAAAGTATTTTTTAAATGTAACTTTGACTTTCATTACATTACATTCCAAAAATAAAAAATATACATTTATTTCTTTTTTCTGTAAATTTTAACACCTTGTTAAAGTTATAAATTTAAAAATGACTGAACTCATTTTGAAAAGAGTTGTTTATGCACTCTAAATAATGAAGTGTTGGATTTACGTCGCCAAGTTATGTCAACTGGTTCCACTAAAGCCTAGTTGAGTAAAAGCAAAGCAGAAAACATGTAACATGTAAAATTTACTCAACTTGGTTTAGTAATAGAATTTAAGTAAACAACACATATCAGCACTTTATTTATTAAAGTGTGTGTAAATGTACTTATAATTTATTTTCCCAATTACTGTGAGCAGTTTTATGACGTCTACTTTTCTTGTCAGTGAAATTCATTTTTACCAAAGTCATTTTATGTAAAGGTATTTTTACTTTTACTTAGTTATTTCTTTCAAATACTCTGTGCGTTTTTAACCTAAAAACACTACTGAGAATGTTACGTTTCTAATTTTTCATCACTTTTAGAAAAAAAAAACTTAAATCAGTCCTTTTTCTTCTGTATCCTTGGCTCCTAGCAGGAAAACATTTAGATGCTTTTGTTTCATTATTATATGATAAACGCAGCTTTAAGGAGTTATTTTGTAATGACAGCAATAATCCATGAACAACAGACTGACTAAAAATGAACTACAGTTGTGCTTTTCATAATGAAGAAACATGTCAATCAATAGTTTATGTTCTCACATTCATTCTTTGTATTTGCTTCTTCCTTGGTAAACATTAGGTGTGTATACAGAAGGTACTTACTGGCACAGCGCAAACTCTGCTTAAACAGCCCCCAGATGAATTCTCCACACAGGTCACACCAGGTGAGGTGTGTGTAGTTGTAGGGCTGGAAGTCGTGTCCCACGCCCCCCTCCCCCGCGTGGCAGCTGGGCACCTGGATGCTAACTCTGTCTCCGAGCAGGCGGACGGCGTGGCGGCGGGCGGGCTGGCCGGGACCTACAGCCGGCGAGGCGGGAGCTGCCAGCTCGATGGGATCATCAACGCTCAGGTCCTTCAGCTCAATCAGCTCGCAGCGAGACATCCTGTCCGTCACGCTGAGACGGACATGTCAGTGTCCACCGGAGGGACACCTGCTCCTGTCCACGTCCTGTTAATTATCAGGTCCACTTTCAGAGATTCTGTCAGAGCTTTCTGCAAACAGATGGGAGAGACACTGAAGTCACACCAGGAGCTGTTTTAACAACAACATAAAAGATAAATCTGGTTTCATCAAAGGATTAAAACATTAAATGTTAGCGTGGATTCACAAATGGCCCAAACAAAAGATTAATATTTGTTATCTCAAGTCAGGAATCATGATTATATGGAAATGTGGGACAAGATGATATAATCCTGCGGCAAACAGCAAACCTGAGGCCTGTGTTTAATATCATTTAGTGCATCTATAGCACATTAAACACCAACTTTTGAACAAAAAGATACATATTAAAAGGCTCAACTCAAAAGCACTTTGAGTTAGAGACATAAAAAACTATTTTATATATTTGACAATCTGATAAAAATTAAAAAAAAAAAATCCAGATTTAAATGAGGTTCTAGCTCTAAGGGCCTACGTTATATAATTTTAGGTCAATGTCTATAAAAAAAAACAAAGGCTAAATTATAGCC